AATTCCCTTAACTTCTGTTTATCTGGAAATGCCCTAATTTCGCCATCATATTTGAGAGACAGTTTTGCTGGATATATAATTCTTGGCTGGCAGTTTTTTTCCTTCAAGGCTTTCTATATGTCATCCCATTGCCTTCTTGCCTGCATGGTTTCTGCTGAGTAGTCTGAGCTTATTCTTATTGACTTTCCTTTGTGGATGACTTTTTATTTATCCTTAGCTGCTCTTAAAATTCTCTCTTTATCTTTGGTTTTGGCAAGTTTGATTATAATATGTCTTAGTGACTTTCTTTTGGGATCTACCTTATGTGGGGTTCCATGAGCTTCTTGGATAGATATCTTGTCATCTTTCACAATATCAGGGAAGTTTTCTGCCAACAGATCTTCAACAGTTGTCTGTGTATTTTCTGTTATCCACCCCCCCACCCCCCAATTTCTGGTACTCCAGTCACTCGTAGGTTACTCCTCTTGATAGAGTCCCACATAATTCTTAGGGTTTCTTCATTTTTTTAAATCCTTTTATCTGATTTTTTCCTCAAATAAGTTGGTGTCAAGTGCTTTATCTTCAATCTCACTAATTCTGACTTCCATTGCCTCACTTCTGCTCCTGTGACTTTCTATTGGGTTGTCTAGTTATGAAATTTTATTGTTAATCTTCTGGATTTCTGATTGCTGTCTCCCTGTGGATTCTTGCATCCTGTTAAATTTGTTATTATGCTCTTCTCTAATCTTTTTAATTGCCTCTATTGTGTGTTCTGTGTTTTGCTTAATTTCCTTCCTAATTTCTTAAAGAGTTCTGTATATTAATCTTTTGTATTCTGTATATTAATCTTTTGTATTCTGCCTCTGATAATTCCAAGAAGTTTTCCTCCTCTGGAAAATTTCTAGATTCTTTATTTTGGGAGCTTGTTGAAGCCATCATGGACTGCCTCTTTATGTAATTTGATATTGACTGTTGTCTCTGAACCATCAGTAAGTTATTATTTTTTTTTATTTTGCTTACTGTGTCCTAGGTTCTTGTTTTGTTTTGATATGCCCAAATAGGCTGCTCGTATGAGCTGGTTTGATTATTGGCACCTTTGAAGCTCTAATGTCCTGTCACCAGGTGGCTAGATCTGTTACTAAGTATGTGAGCTCAGGAGTCTGCCCACTCCTTCTGTATGGATTCAGCTCAGGTGCCCAGGTAGATAGCCACCAATTGTGTGGTGTAGGCTCTCACAGTCCTAGACAGGCATGGGTGATTGGTGTAGACACAGGCATCTGGCTGCAGCAGGGGGATACACTCTTGAGTGAGGCAGGGGGCTAACGGCCTTCCGCGAGTATCCAGGAGTAAGGCATGTCCCTGTTCCCTAGAGCGCATAGGTGGGTGGGTTTTGCAGCCGGACTATGAGCACATAATGCTGTTGGCTGTAAGGACTAGGGGGTACCTTTTATTCATGGGCCCTTCTCGCAGATGGCTAGGTGGCGTGGGTGGAGCCACCAGTCCTCAGGCCCATGATGTGGGTAGGTGAAGACCCTGCTTAATGGGCAGAGCAGTGTCAAATGTTAAGAACCTGCCACTTCACAGCTGAGTGATGTTAGAGTTCCGGTATATACCCTGTTGCACTGTGGTAATGAGGGCCTACCCTGTTGAGATGGGCCCACACAAGTCTGTGAAGGCGGAAAGGCACCCAAAATCCGCGGATCCCTTATGCCTGTGCCTAGGCAAAGGAGCTGTGCCTACCCTGGGTTCCTGGCTTAAGGGAGCCGGCAGTTGATTTTTTCCACTGTTTGTTAATTTGTTCACTCTTAAAGGCAGAGAGGATAACTCCGGGCATGTGACGGATCCTTCTTCTGGCCCAGGGGACTCAGCAATTGCTGAAGCCGGTCCGGGACCCAGTGCAGAGCAGGGAGCGGGGAGGCAAATGGGAGAGAGATTTTTCCCAACGGGGGGTGGATGTTTTTGATCCATGTGGTAAGCCGTACACAAGTACTTACCTTTCATGGAGGGCTGCTTCTCACTGGTTCTGGATGGCTGTATAGACTCTCTCGCGCTGGGTCTCCCCTGGTGCAGAAAATGCGTCTCCCTAGCACCACTGCTTGCCTGCCTCACTGCTCACTCCTGAGCTGATCAGGCTTGAAGGGCTCAGGCTCTCGCCAGGTCAGGTCTGGCAACTCCTCGCTGCTTCCGAACCATCTCTCCTTCCCCCTGCCACTCAGTGTGGTTCCTCAACTCTGCCTTTGACATTCAGGGCTCCCAGATTGCCATATATAATCGAATCACTTGTTTTTTCAGGTCTTTGTTGTAAGAGGGTCCACCAGAGGCATCTGACTACTGGACCATCTTGACCCTGCCTCTCATAGCTGCTCTTGTATTTGCAGTTGTTATTTGGATAAGAAAATTTATGAATTCAGAAACAGGTCTTTTGGGATATTGTGAATATCTCAGAAGCTGCTTAGGAGCCATGCTGCTACAAACATAGTCTCATGAGTGTGGCTGGATGTCTGCCACTAATTTGGGGGAGTTTCTTGGTCAAAGTCATTTTCTGTGAACACTAGAATAGAGACAGAAAATCTGGAGGACTTGCTGTGGTCTCTAGTTGTCTGGTAAAAAGACACTCATTTCTGTGCTAATAATGCAGTTATACAAATTCAGCTTAAGTATGAGATTTTCCCTTCTGTAAACGTGAGCTTTGGTTAGGGCTTTTGTACATATTCAACTTTACTGCATCTGTAAGAGTCATACCAGTTTGCTAAAGGATGCCACATAGTCCTTTTGGCCTCCTGAAGAAACATTAAAGCTGATTGGGTGGACAGGGAAGCCAGAAGCAAACTGCAATGATAGGAAAGGTCCAAGCAACTCTTTTTCTTTCAGCTGAGAAGAAAGAGGAGTTAGGCATAGATTGCCATTTATAGAAGCATTTGGTCTGGGCACTAGGATAACTAGTGGACATTTTAAAAATTAGGATCTCTAGGTGAAATAGTGATGTTGCTGTGATAGGGAAAGCATACTGCTCTCTGGCGGTAGAAATAGACTTGGATTCTTATAAGCCCTCATTGACATTGCATGCAGATAGCTGTTGTCTTATAATTGTTCAGTATTCCTTACATTTTTTCCTTTGACAATTTTAGGCCTTCATTTCCTTGGTTTGGGTTAGACTAATAAAGGAAACAGAAGCCAAGGAAGAGCTTCTTTACAAATGTGTCTCACACTGTTTTCCTGAAGTGATTTCCATGACCTGATGGTTTCCTTTATTTTTCTCTCCCACCCGTCTCTGGGTATCTTGATAAATGCATGACTGGATAGTTTTCTTAAGTCAACTCTTTTTTTTTCCCCCCTGCTCTTCTGCTTTTCTCTGCCTCATATAGCTCAGTCCCAGTTCCAGAATGAAGAAGCTGCCTCAGGGTCGCCCTGTGCCTCCTCTAGGACCCGAGACCAGAGTTTCCGTAGTCTGGGTGGAGCGCTATGATGATATAGGTACTGTATGAGGACTTTGTCCGTAAATAAAATTATAACAGAATGATCATAGCTTGCTAAATGTCTAAAGATAGAGGCAGTGTAGGCATGGTATGATGGCCAAGGGCTAAGACTGGAGTTCAGCAAACCTGCACTTGTATCCCAGCTCCACCGCTCACTTAATTTCCTGAAGCCTTAGACTGTTGTGTACTGGCAAGTCAATTCTGACTCATAGTGACCCTATAGGACAGAGTAGAACTGCCCCATAGGGTTTCCTAGGCTGAAATCTTTATAGGAGCAGATCGCCAGCTCTTTGCTTCCACGGAGCCACTGGTGGGTTCAAACTGCAAACCTTTCAGTTAGCAGCCGAGCACTTAAACATTGTGCCACCAGGGCTCCTAGCCTTAGAATACTCATCTGTTAAATGGGGACAGTCATGGCACTTATTTCATAGTTGTGAAGATTTGAGAGGCTAGTGGATATAAAGCCTTTAGCTGTTCGTATTTAGTGTCAGCTAATGGTTTATTGCCAGTTGGTCCACTGCATGTAACTAGTTCCCAGTCACCCCAGGGCTTCTGGAAAGGGGAAGGGGGGAGCATTTCACTCACCTGCCCTCCATGGCGTGTCTTTTGATCAGTCCAGTGCACCCAACTGTCTACTTTCATTGTAAAGGTTAATTTGTCCTTAAGAGCTCTGCTATGGATAAGTTTCTCGATTTTTATGTAAGCAGCAGAAGAACATTAAAAAATGCATACTTGGTCTAGAATCTCATCCAACTCAGAGTTTGTGGGAAGGTGTGATAGTTGCTTTCCAGCCAAGCCCTCAGAGACCACCAGTCGTGTTCTCTAAAAACCCTCTGCATTAGATGAAAGTAGCCACAATATTTCTTGAAGACGAATTTTTTTGTGTATGTGGGGAATAGTTAGGGTTATATATTTTAGGATAGCCCAACTCACATATTTGTTGCCCATTTGTGTTAAGAGATTAGGAAATTTGATTTCTTACCTGTTTGAGAAAAATGAGGGAGATATTAATTGTAATGCTATTATTTTCTTCCAGAAAACTTTCCCCTCTCAGATCTGATGACAGAGATCAGTACTGGTGTGGAAACTACTGCAAATAGTAGCACTTCTCTGAGGTACACTATCTGTATTTGTTAGAAGTTTATCAGCATGTTACTGTGTTTATAAACATATATACACCTGTTTATATATAATATATTGATTTCAGTTGAATCAGAAAATAAAGAATTAAATAAAATTTTTTTTTTTTTTATTGAAAAAGCAAGCCACAGACTGGAAGAAAATGTTTGCAGATCATGTATCTGATAATGAAATTGCACTTAGAATATATAAAGAGCCCTTACAAAAAAGTACAAATAACCCAATTTAAAAGTGGGCAAAAGATTTGATATGCATTTCTCCAAAGAAGATAAATAGCCAATAAGGGTGTGAAAAGATGCTCAGTAACATTAGTGATTAGGAAAGTGCAATTCAAAACCATAGTGAAATACCACTTTACAACCAACCACTCAATGGCTAAAATAAAAAAGACAGACAATAAAGTTTTGGTGAGGATGTGGAGAAACTGGAACCCTCATACATTGCTGGTGGAATGTAAAATGGTACAACAACAAAACAGTTCGACAGTTTCTTAAAAAGTTAAACACAGATTTAATATATGACTCAGCAATTCCACTCCTAGGTATTTACCCAAGAGAGATGAAAACATACATTCACTCAAAGACTTCCTCACAAATGTTCATAACAGCATTATTCATCATAGGCAAAATGTGTAAATAGCTGATGAATGGATAAGCAAGTGTGATATACCCATATAATGGAATACTATCCAGCAATAACAAGGAACAAAGTACTGACTCATGCTACAACATGGGTGAACCTCAGAAACACTATGCTATGTGAAAAAATTTGGGCATGAAAGACCACATACTATATGATACCATTTATATAAAATACCCAGAAAGGATAAATCTATAGAAACAGAAACTAGTGATTGCCCCAGGCTAGGGGTGAAATTGGGAAGTGACTGCAAATTGGCATAAGGTTTCTTATCGGGGTGATGGAAATATTCTAAAATTAGAACAGTAGATAGTTGCACACCTCTGTAAATATACTAAAAATCACTAAATTGTACACTTTAAAAGGGTGAATTTATGGTATGGACATTATCTCAGTAAAGCTTATTTTATAAAAAGAACTGTAATGAAACGAAATGGATGTAAGCAATAAGAAACATCTAAGTCGGGAAGAGAGAAAGTTTATAGATAAATGCACAAGGTGATGAAATGAGCAGGAATTGTTTAAATGCTGTAATTGCTGGTTTATATCTATCTGCAGCAAAAAGAAAAATCGAGAAGTGGAGGCAATTAAGTATTAATGGAGACTGTGATAATAGGGTAGCAATATTAGATTGAAATAGTGAGATTAAATTGGTAAAAACATTCAGGATAGATAGCAGTTAAAATATACTAATCATAGGAGCTATTTAGTGGAAAAATATTTCTAAATAAAATTTACTAACTATCCTGTAATGTTCAAATTTCTTTTTTATCTGCCCATACAGAAAAAATAAAAAGACAATAATAACAATATATTTGTATAGGCTTTATAGTTTTCAAGGCTTTTTGCTAGTTTGTGTTTTGTTTAAACAAATATTTTTAAATAACTCCCTGAGGTACAATTATCAACCATGTTTTACAAATGGTATAAAATAGGCTGATAGAGGTTATTCCTCATTGTCACACATCCAGTAAATGAAGGAGAGAGTGATCTGAACCCAGGCCTCTGACCACAAATGCCGACCACATCTCACATCAGAGCTTCCCTCAAACTTGCTATTTTAATTTTAAGCAAGTTCCTTATGTTTACATTATCTGATCCTAATTACACTTGAGACAAATTTATTATCACATTGTTAGATTATTGTTGACAGAATGAAGTCAATAAAGATGGTTTAACATTATCATTTTTTTAAATTTCTAGAAGGCAGATCATTTTTTAAAACTTCCTGTTTTTTATGCTCAAGTATTTTAAAGTAAATTACAGATATCCTGACAGTCTACTTATAAAGACCTCAATATGCATCTCTAAAAAGTAAGAATACTTTTTAAATAGCTAAAAATAACATTACAACAATAAAGTTAGTAATAATTCCTTAAAATCATCGAATAGCCAGTTTAGTCAAATTTCTCTGCTTTTCCCTAAAATATCCTTTACAGCTGGCTTGTTCAAATCAGAACCTTCCTCAGGACTATGCATGTGGTATTGATTTCTTTAAGTCTCTTTTAATCCAGAACAGACCTTTTTTCCTTTTTCTTTCTTCTTCATGACACTGACTTGCTAAAGAGACTAGAATAGTTGTCATGAGGTAGATTTTTCTTGAACTAGTTTAGAAGAAAACTTTACCTTGTACTTCTTAAAAAAACCATTTTAGGTCCAAAGTTGTAATGCAATTAGGTTAGAAAATATTTATTTTATTGGTAGATGAGCAAAGTTTAGAATTTGTCTTGGGTACAGCAATACTACAGGATTGATTTTTTTTTTTTTTAATCTTGAAAAATTTATTCAGTGTTGCTTTGGCCAAGTCAATTTATCTGTAGAAAGAAAGTTTACTGTGTTGCTAACCTTAGCATCTGTTACCATTCAGAGGGTTTGAGTGCTTTTGGCCCTGCCCAGACATGGCCGTTTATCAGCCTCATTGAGGAGGATACTTGCAGTTGGTCCAGACTAATAGCCCTAGGGATTCCCATAATGGACCTAAGCTGTATATCTACTTGTGGTTCCCCAAAGAGGGAAGAACTAAGTAAAAGTCCCATAGCTGGTCCCTAGGTTCATACTTCCCCATGATAGATGACTCTGGCTTTTCCTTCAACCCCATGTCCCCAGTGGTTTCTAAGCACATTTTCTCAACCCCTTTTGTCAGCTTAAAAAGCTGACCCGATGATGGGCATTTAGGGCCAGGTGTCACTGTGGGGTGGGGGGCAGCAACATGGCCTCCCAAGAAGAGGATTCTGAGCAAACTGTTCCCTTGGCTCTTCTCAAACACTGCCTGCAAGAGGTCCCCTTGGTATTCCTGTGTCACTCATGGAGACTTCTACTTTTACGTGTCTGGGGTAAAAAGTCTTATCTTTTCTTAAGATCAACCACTCTTGAAAAAGAAGTTCCTGTCATCTTCATCCACCCTTTAAACACTGGATTATTCCGGATAAAAATCCAAGGAGCCACTGGAAAATTTAACATGGTCATCCCTCTTGTGGATGGGATGATAGTCAGCAGGCGAGCTCTCGGTAAGGTCTTCTCTGTGGCCGAAGGGTTAAGGTTTCTGTCTGTCTTGTTCTTTCATGTTTTTGTAAACCAGAAGAAGGAACAATAAAGAAATGGTGATGTTACTCAATAGATTACATGTGTAGAAAATGTTATGACTCTTGTTACAAAGGGAGCATGTTTTGCTCTGTTTTAAAATGGCTTAATACAGTTAGTGTGAGTAGAGCTATTACAAACTTCTGGTATTGGAAAATGAAGATTACTGTCTGTAATTTAGGGCAGGAAATGGGTTGTCAGACCAGATTTTGATTTGATTTTTCCTTGCCATTGTATGTTTCTTCTGACATTTTTATCTTGGTAGTGCTATGCCTGTCTCTCTGAAGACTGTAGTTTTGCAAATGGAATGAAGTATTTTGAGTATGCAGAGAATAGCTTACTTGAATACTGATAATTCACTTAGCTAACTGGTTGTTAACATTTATTTTAACACCTTTGTTTTTAAGGGTTCCTGGTGAGGCAGACTGTAATTAATATTTGTAGAAGGAAGAGACTAGAGAGTGACTCCTACAGTCCACCACATGTGCGCCGGAAACAGAAAATCACCGACATTGTCAACAAGTACCGTAACAAGCAGTTGGAGCCAGAGTTTTATACTTCACTTTTCCAGGAGGTTGGAGTCAAGAACTGCAGCTCTTAGACCACTGCCTGTCCAAGACTATTTAACTCCAGTTTGGGGGGTATAATATCAAAGCAAAACTATTTGACAGGTGATCACTGTAAAAATAAAAACAAATCACTTCCTAAGAGCTTAATGTTTAATCACCAGAATAGAAGAAACACCTTACAAACCCATTTGATAGAAGACTTTTGGCTTTCTAGTGAAATGGGCTTCCAGACACAATCATGTTCTTGCTGGTAATGACAATATACATTTTAGCCATAAACTTTCTTTTAAAAATGACAGTTTTAGTTAAATATAAGCTTTTTCAGGAGAAAGGCTTTTATGCATCTCAGTTAAACATGTGGATTGGTAGTATCAACAAGTTTCCAAATTAGAAGTTGAAGGTAGTTTTATACCTCGCTTTTTAGGAGGTTGTGTTCAAAATTAAAATCTGTCTAGAATCTTCCAGGACATTTAAAAACTCAAAAGATGCTGATAGCGTAGAGGAGAAGGAAAGAAATCTCAACCTTCTGCTCACTTGTAGGTCCATTTTTAATCCAACTGTCAAACTGACAAAAGAGCATGAATGGTTTTTGCTCAGATAAGAAGTCTGACATTAAAATATTTCATATTTTCTCTCCACATTTCAAATAAGTTGCCAGTCTCATCACTGCACAGAGGATCTGTCTGAAGGCCTCAATTTCTGGGCAACCAAGGAACAGATCTAAAATGGAGGTGCAGCTCTGTGCTTTAATGGAGACACAGATGAAGTCTATAGAGTTAAAAGTTAGAAAACAGCAGTGATACCTATGCTCTCTCCATTGTTGGCCAGCTTGGTGACATAATGACAGGTTAAACATTTGTAATTCCTTGGTTGAATATCAAGAAGTGTAAATTCACAACAAGGATTGAAAATTATTTGGTTTCATACACTGTTTCTTATTTCAGGACCAAGCAAGAAACTGCAGTAGGTTATGAAGGATTCTAATTTGGGGTTTAGGAAGCAGCTTCTCGGCACTAGTAATTCAGATCTCTCTCAGCTATTGGATTTTATCATAATTGACAAGGATTAGTGATCCACCTCCCTGGATGGGCTGCTATTAGAAATGGCCATTGTCATGTTTTCTGGACTTTGCCAGCTGATGGCACAACAAATCCCTGCCAGGGTTTTGGAAATACTTCTGTTACCTCGCTGCTACTTTTCTGCCAGGGATAAGAGTTTTGAGGTGGCCAGACCCAGAACATCCTTACAAGGTTGCCTGTTACAGTGCTAGAGTATACACTACTCGTTTCTCCTATTCTTATCTGCTTTCTTCTTTCTTAATTAAGATTATTTTGTGTTAAGAAAACAAGTGACATTTGAATTCCAAAGAGGAGTGATCACAGGTGTATAAGGGGGTTTCACACTTGAACTCTGACGTCAGTAAGTTGTCCCTACCATGGTCTTGTTAGGTTATTTCTTTGGCTTTGATGTTTTAGTAGTTTAATTGGGGGTGAAGGGGATAGTGTAGAACCTAGTTCCCTCTGCAGTTATTTTTATTCCAGAAGTATGTATTTTGCCATCTATGAGCAAGAGATGTGGGCATAGCAGCTTCTTGGTTTTACGTTTGCCGTACCCTTGTTTTCAGCTCAGGTAAAGCTAACTTCCTCCTATGACTCCAGTTTCCATTCAGGGGATAATAATATTCAATAATTGACTTCCTTTTCAAGCTGGGCAATAAATTGATGTTCGCAAATGGTAGCATCGAGGAGGGGGGTATATAATAAAGATTAGCAAGTTCTATCCTAAAAATGTTTTAGTAGTTCAGCAGGTATAAGGTGAGGTTTGACAGCTTTCAAGGAAATTCCAGATTGAACATTTCAAGGGAAAAATGAGCCCTTGTTCTGCTGAAGTGAACAAAGAGTGCTAAATTGATATGCAACCTAGAACATTCCAGAGATTAAAAAGAATTGATATAGATGTACTTCCTCAGTATGATTCTTCAGGTAAAACATTTACCTTTTACGTAGTTCTGATGTCAGAAAAATGTCTAGTGGGGTGTTTGGGGGTTGGTTTGCTGATCCTTTAATTACCTCTAGTTTCTGGCAACTTTTTGTAATTCTGATGGCTTTAATAAGTGAACAGCCATGTTGAATGCAGTTTGTGATCTGGAAGACTTTGTGGTCCCTCAGAGGAGGAGAGATGGGTTCAGTAATGTGTACCCTTGAAGACGAGACCCCCAATGTGTACAGCATGAACAGAGTATGGGCTAGCATCCCTCGTCAAGTGTTGGTTTCTTCTGCTCAGAATAGAATCTACCAAACAAGGTCCAACTCTTGGACCTTTCACTAGTATGGGTTTAATAGTCACTAAGTTCACTCAACTGCCTTTTTTAAAAACCACTTTGAGCATAATGATGCCAGAGGAACATATTTAGTTCTTAATAATAGCCTTTATTGGTCCATCTGATAAATTTGTTAGCATGTGTTCATAACCTTGGGGAAGCCAGGACCACTTTGGTCTGTGACTTAAACAGTTGAGCTGCTCCTGTGTCTGCACCAGAGGGTGGATGAGTGGCATTCTGTGAAGAGGAAAGCGTTACCCAAGAGACAGATGCAGGAAGCCCCTCAAACTCCCTCCTCAAGTGTTTGGAGGGGGGTTCTCCTTTCTGGTTAGGAGCACGAAGGACAGTGAGAAAGGCTTTTTGCCTCTTTAACCCTTTCCTTGTTTAGCCAGCTCTCCCTTTTGTCCAGTGCTTCCGCCAAAGACCCCCTCCTGTCCGTTGGCCCTTTGAAAGGAATAGTTATGTGGTGGGTTGACCTACCTGCTTTCCTGCCTACCGCCCCCGGCCACTCCCCACACACACACATGCGTTCTGTCCTCCACTTCAGGGTCCTCTATTTTAGTGCAGCCCGTTCTCCTCTGGACTCATTTATAAATACAAAGTATTTCCATCTTTGGCCAGTAACGTCAGTTGCCTATGGGTGCTGTGTGTGAGGCCTTCACACAGTCACTTCAGCATACACTGGGGCAGCATTCATCAGGCTCTGCGGGACTGATCTTTAGAGAGGCAGAGGCTTCAGGAGTATTTATTTCTATTGGAAGGTAGAAGCCTTGCAGTGGGAGCCTTGCTCAAAGACGTATTTTGTGGTAGATAGTGAAAAATGTATTGGAGGTAATTTGACACTCCTGGCAATAGTTTTCCATTCGGCATTTTAAAGCCCCTTCAGGTTATACCTTCCTAAAAAGAATTGATTTATATGCTTACATGAAATGACAAATGAGTTAGGTGGTCTGTTTTAAAGATTTCCATCACAGCCTCTTTTCTTGACATGGGGAGATTGGAGGTAATCCATTCATACAATGTGGAATCAAACTGTGGGTTTCTCAGTAGCTAAAGAAGCCATGTACTGTATAGTGTTTTTTCTCAGAATATCAACTCATGTTCTTCAGATGCTTTTCTTTTTTTAATGGTGAGGGAAAAGGTGTAATTTGGGATTCCACAGTGCCTTGCATATAGTAGGCGCCCAATAAATATTTGTTGAAGCAAACCAAGTTTCCCAAGTCCTCATCTCTTACAGTGACCAAGAACATCTTTCTCCTCCGAAGGGCTTGGCAGTTGTGGCTAAAAAAAAATAAACAGTATCATTATTTGCTTGAAATCATATATACAATTTGTATGAATTTCAGTATGTTGCCAAGACATAATCTTTTTCTTATTGTATTTTCTGTAAATATTTCTGGCACTGAACTGTAAAGACGAAATGTAAATATGAAGGTGTCCCCGTGTCCCCTCGCCTTTTGTGTTTTATCTTCGTCAATTAGGGAAGAAGGCCCAGAGGCTTGTTTGTATTTATACCGATTCTTTGTCCAGAAGAAACCCATGGAATATTGAATGTAATACATTTAGTCAATTAAATTTTAGGAGATTCTTATCTAATAACCTCGTGTGTGCTTTTGGTTACAGGCTGTGGGTTTGAATCCTGCGTGGGTGCTCTTTCCAGGAGGGTGTCTGCTGTCCTTTGGCTCCCCTTCGAAATGTAGATCTGTGAGTTCTCACCCTGCTTTTATAGAGTTTCATGAGGGCGTGGCAGTCTACTTCCCAAAAAACAGCCACTGAAAACCCTATGGAGCACAATTCTACTCTGACACACATCAGGTCACCCTGAGTTGGAATTGACTCATCGACAACACATAGGAATCCCTGGGTAGCACAGACGGTGAAGCACTCGACTACTAATCGAAAGGTTGGTGGTTCAAACCTACCTGTAAGTGCCTCAAAGAAAGGCCTGATGATCTTCTTCCAGAAGGTCACAGCCTTGAAAACCCTATGAAGTCAACAATGTTTTGACTCTTGGAAAAGTCAGGCAATCTGGCAATACTGGGTCTGCAGCTCCCACATAGCAGTTATTGGCTGGAGCTGAGTGTAGCTGCCTGCTTTACATGCACTGTGTGCCATCTGTTTGTTGCTGTCCCCACTACGCCCACAGAGGAAACGTGGTCACCCGCAGTCGGAATTACAGGACCCGAGGACCTGGCTGGCTCGAGAGGTCTCTGGGACCTCGAATGTATGAACACCCACCCAGGGATAATTTTTATCTCACCTATTTTACTAACTTTTAGCAGCTTAGTGAGGTAAGAATTATTTCCATCTTACAAGAAAGAGGATCAGGTAAGTGTCACATGAACCCAATAGCAGCTTAGCTGGGATCCAAACCCAGGCCTGCCTGCCTGCCTAGAAGCCTGGAATTTTACAAAATCTGAGCTAAACTCACTGCCCAGCTCCCATCCATTCGTCCAAAACACCACTCACAGGGCACTCTGACTTCTTGTTACATCACCTGCTCAGTCACAACTGGGATGAGGGCGGAGTGTGGCCCAGCCTGCCAGGTCCCCAGGGGCAGCCCTGCCAGCCTAGCCCAGGCTGGCCAGCTTAGCTACACACACACCATGAAGTACCCACTGATGCCACTGGTGAACAACATCACATTTTCTTTTCTGGTTTTCTGGCTCTGCCTGCCCGTGGGCTTGCTGCTGTTCTTATTGATCGTCTGGCTGCGCTTCTTACTTAGCCAAGGTGAGCCGCCCAGGCTGGGCAGGGGGCTGAACAGGTCAGGGTCTCCTGGAACAACTGCAGAGAAAGGGGTTTTGTTCAGGTATTTTTACTGCTGGCTCAGATAAAAATAGTCAACTGCAAGAGAAAAGGACTGGTCTGGTAGTTTAGAGTTTCTTAACCTGGAGTCCAAGTTTGATTCTTCAGGGTTCCATGAATCCGCGAGTTTGACTATGAAGCAATATGTCTGTGTGGTTTTTCTGGGGAGATGGTCCAGTGGATCCCTCAGGGCCACCACTAGCACGTGTCTTTTGTACAAATTAGAGGTGGCCTCTCTGGGCAGATGATTTGGGAAAAGACGCCACTTTCTGTGGGTGCAGCCAGGGAAAGGCTGAGCGAGCAGAGCATGGGCTGGATCTCAGCCCCACTCACCCACTTCAGCCGGTGCTTTTGCAACAGTGAGCAGCTTGCACAATGCGATGCAGCAGCCTTCAGCATTACCAGGTGCCCAGAGGCCACTCACAATGTCTTCTGCTCAGACCATACTTCAGGGAGGATCTGGGCTTCTCTGGGACACAGGATCGTGGAGGCCACTGACATTCATCCTGAGCTCAGCATGTCTCCATAAGGAGCAAGAGGCAGGGCAAAGTGGTCATAAAGGAAGCTGGGGGGAGGGGGGCCTGGGATGTGGCCTGGCTGTGGGGCAGGAGTGATATCTCTCCCCTCAGGTGTCCTGTTCTGGGCACCCTCTTCAGCTGAGGAATTTATTTCTCTTGACCTCCCACCTCTTGCTGCTCAGCTGCATGATCCTTGGCCAGCTGGGCAGGGAGGGCGCTGAGCACGCAGCCAGCCCTGGGCAGATGGCTTTGAGACAGGGTAAACGGTTCACCCTCCCCACCTGCCCCATGATCTCAAATGTAGGGGCTGATAATTGTGTGATTACTGGGAGTTCCTGTCAAGAGCCTGGGAAGTCCTTTTGCTTCCAGAAAATGTTTGTTTAAAGTGTTCTCGAATTTCCAGGGTGAACCCCAGTGCTCCCTGAGGGACAAGACTTGGGCATCAGACCTGGTGGCTGGTGGGAGCTGGAGGACTTGTGTATATTGGCTATAAAACTATCTCGACGTCTAGGAGCCTGGAGTTCCAACTTCAGCCTTGCCCTTAATAGTTAATAATATTGTCATGGAGGCTGGATGAACCCCTGAAACTGTTGCCCTGTGATAATCTTTAAATCTTAAACCAAATATGTCACCTGAAGTCTTAAAACCAAATGATAGTTTAGCTTAACTAGTAAAGAGTGTCTGCCATGAGCATTGTGCTCTTTTAAGATCTGTATGGGATCAAACTGACAACAGCAACTCAAAAGATTAGATAGGAACCTTAGGGCAGTGAGTTTATGTTAGTAGGGGAGGAACAACTTGGAAAAGGAGGGTGAGAATGGTTGCACAACTGAAAGAATGTAATCAATGTCACTGAATTGTACATGTAAGAATTTTTGAATTGGTGTATGTTCTGCTGTGTATATTCTCAACAACAAAAACAAAATGAAATATAAAAAACAATGTTGTTGTGTGCCATTGAGTCAGTTCTGGCTCATAGCGACCGTATATGACAAAGTAGAACTGCCCCATAAAGTTTCCAAGGCTGTAATCTTTACCGGAGTGTCTTAGGCTGGGTTCTCTAGAGAAGCAAAACCATTAAAGCATATAAATATACATAGGGAGAAATTTATATCAAGGAAATGGCTCACACGGTTGTAGAGGATAGAACATCCCAAGTCTGTGGGTCAGGATAGAGGCTTCTCCTGATTCACATAGCTGAAGGGGCTGGTGAACCTAAGATCAGCAGGTCAGAGAGCAAGTCTCTTGCTTACAGGCTGTGAAGATCGATGAATTCCAAGATCGGCAGGCAAGACCACACGCGCCCAAGGAAACTCCCTTTCAACTGATTGGCTACTCACAGCAGATCCCATCTTGGAGGTGATCACAACATCATACGACCACCAAACCACTGAGAGTCATGGCCCAGCCAAGTAGACACACAACCTTAACCATCACAGTAGCAAACAGCAGCTCATATAATCCTCAAAGTAACCCTGTGAGGTAGTACCTATCTTATAATTGAAGAAACTGAGGCTCGTAGAGGAGAAGCTAGCTACCTGCCCAAAGTTACACATCTGTGAAGTGCTTAAGAGTGCCAATTGTCTGGTTTCTGAGCCTTAGTTTTCTCATCTACGAAATGAAGATAATAGTAGTACCAACACTTTGGGCTGGTGGAGTCTTAAATGGGTTAATGCATGTCAGGTGCTTACAGGGCCAGGCACATACTAGGTGCTTGTAGGAGGAGAAAATAGTCCAGCGTAGGGTTTTGTCATTGTTGAGAAAGTGTGCACGTGGCTTTGCACGTCTTCTCTGTTGCAGGACACCTTACCACCCAGTCCAGCCCTATCTCCCCAGTGAATCATTCTTGGAGGCCCTGCTCTAAGCCAGCCACAACTTAACACTACTCTGGCCCCTTTTCAGACTTTCTCCTGAAAGGCTGTGCACCCATCGGCATCTCACATGACATTTTGAAATAAGTCCTTTCCTTAATTTTTCAACAAAGTGAAACTCCCTCAGGGGCCCTGTCTTCTTGGAACTCTCAGTATTATTACATGAGTTCTGCCCTCATGCCATGGTCTGGGCCTGCTAGGGTTTGGGGCCTGCCAGGGCCTGGGGACTGGGGGCTTGGGACACCCAGGCTTGTTGTTTTCTAACTTTTCTGACTTGGATCCCTTTACTGTAATCAGTTTGGCCTGGAATCCAGTATGAGCACAGACAAAAGTAGCTCTGACGTCTCCATCCTGTGCCCCACAAGCCCAGGCTGCCTCAGCAGGGCAGTTCCAAGGCTAGGAAGCTAGATTCGTTTCCCAGGGCTGCTGCAACAAATCCCCACAGACTGGGTGACTTAAAACAACAGAAATTTATTCTCACAGTTTTGGAGGCTACAAGTCCATAATCAAGGTCATATTCTCTCTGAAGCCTCTAGGGGAGAATCTGTTCCATGCCTTTCTCTTGGCTTCTGGTGTTGTAGACAATCCTTGAGGTTCCTTGGGCGTATAGGCGCTTCATTCCAATCTCTGCCTCTTTTGTCACATGGCGTTCTCCCATTGTATCTCTGTTTTATAAGGACACCAGTGATACTGGATTAGGGACCATGAATGACCTCATCAGGGAGCCCTGGTGACATAACAGTTAAGTGCTCGGCTGCTAACATAAAGGTTGGCAGTTCAAACCCACGCAGCAGCTCCATGAGAGACCTGGTGATCTACTCCTGTAAAGATTACAGCCTGGGAAACCTTATGGGACAGTCCTACTCTGTCACATGGGGTCACTATGAGTCGCAGTCAACTCTGCGGCACACAACAACAACAATAACAATGACCTCAACTTGATTACATCTGCAAAGACCCCATTTCCAAATAAGGTCACATTCACAGGTACCAGTGGTTAAGACTTCAACATATCTTTTTGGAGTACACAATTCAACCCATAACAGAAAGAAACAGGGTCGAGCAGTGGTGAGTGAGTGCCTGTGGCCTGAGAGTGGCACTCTCCCAAGTCGAGGGAAAAGCAAGGTGGGAGAAGGAGCTGCTGGTGAGACTGGCACTGAGCAAAAAAAGACCATGGGCAGCTGAGCCCCCAGGAAAACTGGCCAGTGGGTAATGCTAATCCTTGGCCATGTCTTGTGGAGAGAGGATGAAGCCCCAAGTGCTTTCAAGAGAAAGATGGCCTGCTATAAACCCTTTCCTTCTGTGGTTTGAAAGAAATTTGCAGAAGGAAGAAGGGAACCCTCGAGAGAGATGGATTTGGGGCCGAAACAGAGGAATTGGCACAAGGCTGGAGCTCTGGTTCTACTCTGTCATCTGGGCTGTGTTTGTTGAAGATCCTTCCCAACCTGCATGGTGATCTTTGGACCAGAACTGGTAGAGCAAAATTTTAAATTCAAAGCTGCCTTTGAATTCCTTGACTTCAAACAAGTCCCCCTAGTGGAATTCCATGGGGTGCTAGAGCCCTGTCTTGGTCATCTAGTGCTGCTATAACAGAAATACCACAAGTGGATGGATGGCTTTTAACAAAGAGAAATCTATTCTCTCACAGTCTAGTAGGCTACAAGTCCAAATTCAAGGCATCAGCTCCAGGGGAAGGCGCGCTCTGTCGGCTCTGGAGGAAGGTCCTTGTGATGCATCAGTCTTCCCTCGGTCTGGGAGCACCTCAGTGGAGGAACCTTAGGTCCAAAGGATGCACTCTGCTCCTGGCACTGCTTTCTTGGTGGTATGAGGTCCCCATGTCTCCCTGCTCACTTCTCTTTTATATCCCAAAAGAGACTGGCTCAAGACACTACCTAATCTTGTAGACCTCATCAATGTAACTGCCGCTAATCCATCTTATTACATCACAGTGATAGCATTTATAACACATAGGGAAATCACATCAGATGATAAAATGGTAGACAATCATACAGTACTGGGAATCATGACCTAGCCACTAGCCAAGTTGACAGATATTTTTGAAGGACACAGTTCAATCCATGACAAGCCCCATTGCCATCGAGTCGATTTCAACTCATAGCAACCAGTAGGACAGAGTAGAACTCCCCCAAAGTGTTTCCAAAGCTGTAATCTTTACAGAAGCAGACTGACATCATCTTTCTCCCACAGAGCTACTGGTGGCTCGAACCACCAACCTTTAGGTCAGCAGCTGAGCACTTAACCATTGTGCCACCAGGGCTCCTGTTGTGGAGCTAGAGGGACAAATTTGAATCCAGCAGCACCCTTCCTGGCTTTGTAAGCCCAGACAAGTCACCTCATCTTTCTGAGCCTTCATTCCTCATCTGTAAAATACAACCAATACTTGCAGTCACCTCCATGAAGTTGAGGATTAAATGAGAAAATGAAATGAGAAAATGCATATAAAGAACTTAGCACATAATATGTACTCAAAAAAAAAATCACTCTCTTTAGTGAATAGCAGTGCTTCAAGCCATTGTACTGATAATCATAATAACCACCAACATTGTTAAATGCCTGTGCTAGGCCCTGTGGTGAGTTTTACATATTTTACTTCAGTTAACCCTCCTCACAGAAGATGATATTATCGTGCCCATTTTACAGATGAGGAAACTGAGACTCGGATTTTTCTATCTCCTGCCCTCTGTTGATCTGCAATCTGAGGACCCGTCTCTATTCAGCGTCCTTTACTCCTCCACAACCAGTGGAACAGTGCAAGACTATAGTGAGAAAAATCATCTTCCTACTCCCTGTCCTTTTTCACCTTGCCTTCGCATGACAAGGCATGTTAGCAAAGTCAGGCACACACTTCGTAACGTGTGGGTTTTCAAAACTCTTTTTGGGTGAAGGGAAGTCTTTGTTTTCCAAAAAAGGGGCTCTACCATAAACATTTCTCTGCAACTTGCATGTAATACACTACCAAGGACATTCCTGGAAGTCAAAAGAAAGAGATCAAATGCAATTCTTTTAACAGCTTCATGACGTACCATTGGGTAGAGGGACCAGGTCTCCACAGGGTGTGAGCGTACCATAGTTTTGTCAACTAGACTTCGTGTAATGGACATGCACAGTTTCCAGGGTGTTTGGTTGTGTGTGTGTCACCACAAAACAATGCTGCAATGGAAATCATTGTAAATATATACGCAGATATTTGTTAATGGGTGAACTGGTGAAGAGTGGATGGAGCGTCAATGACTGGGTTCATGTCTCCTCAGTGCTCCCTCCTGGACCTTGCCTAATACAGGTAGGTCATTTGCTGAGGATTGCTATGAGTTAAAGTTGACTTGACAGCACACAACAAAAACAGAGTCCCTCCCTCTCTAGTAGGTAGATTTGGCCACTTTCTGAGTCATAGGACAACCTTCTTTCTTGGCCCCTGGTCACCATTCAAGGTCCTGTTGGCTTCCTGAGGCCTCAGGGATGGCCTGTATGTCATGACTTGGGCTCAGCTCCCTGACCCCAGAGAAGGCTACAGGGATGTCCAGCCCTGGAAGGGGACCCTTTTTGGGTCAGGAGTAGGAGATGGGATGTGACCACCCAAGATGCTTTGTCTTGTACCTCCACAGATTCAGAGGAAAATGACTCCAGTTTATGCTTCGATTGGGAGCCATGGAACAAAGGGCCAGCTGAGTTTTGCTGGGAGGGGACACTCTATAGCCGAGAAGAGGAGAGGCCCCACTGGTGAGCCTGTGCTGCCAGGTGAGGCCCTTCTGTGAGTGGATGGTGTGGAAAGGAAAGCCTTAGTGCCCAAAGCCTTGGGTGGCTGCCGTGTTGGAAAGCTGGCTGCTTCCACCATGTTGGAAGCCTGCTCCCTCTGCCATGCTGGAGAACTGGCGCCCTCTATGTTGGAGAGCTTGCTTCATATGCCATGTTGGAGACCTGCTGTTTTTGCCATGTTGGAGGACTAGCTGCCTCTACCATGAGGAATCTTCCCCTAAAGGTCCCCTCACACTTTACCTCTATGACCTCACCTCCCACCACTCTCCCAGCACTTACTGGCCTCCTCGCCACTCAGACTGAAAACCAGCTCCCTCCTTAGGGTCTTTGCTCTGGCTGTCTTTCTGCCTGAAAGTTCTCTCTTCCACACATCCACATGGCAAACTCTCTTCAGTTTTTGCTCAAATGTCACTTTTTCAGTAGGGTACCCCCCAACTACCATATTTAATATTGCAACCTCTCCCCACCCCCACTCATGATCCCCTTTGCTCTGCTCTACTTTTTTCTGTGGTACTTATCACCTTCTAAGATGCTAGATAGTTTGTTTTGTTTGCAGATGTACCCAAAACACCCAAAGCGATACCTGACACGGGGCTCAATACATATTTTTAGAAGAAATGATGTAATCATATCAGTATCAATAAAAAATAATAGCTATCATTTATTGGATGCTTAAAAGGTACCAGGGCCTATGCTAAGCATTTCCCTTTCACAAGTTCATTTATGAAATCTTATGAAAAGGGTTTTATTCTTATCTCCATTTTACAAATGAGGAAACTGAGTGTTAGGGCAGTTAAATAATTTGCCCAAAGTAACACTGCTCTGACACATATTGAGCCTCTAGGAGCTCTCAGCCATTACAGTGGAGTAAAACATCAGCTCTATGCCAATGACCACAACATGTGTATCTCTCGCTCTCACCTTTCTGAGCTCTATTATCTAACTGCCTCCTTGAGACTTTGTCACATCTAGAATGGAATTCTTGATACTTATTGCTCCCCAACAAAGCAAAACATAGCAATCCCAATCTTTGCCCATCTCAATGAACAGTACCACCCTTGAGTGATCCAGTTGCTCCAGCCAGAACCCAAGAGTCAGCTTCATGGATGCTATACACCTTCATGCCCTTCTTTCTCCCACTCCACATCCAGTCTGCCAGCGAGTCCTCCTAATTCTATGCCAAACTCCATCTCTCACGCATCCACTTCTGGCATCCCACTGTCAGATGGCCTGCCTTACTTGGAAGTCTGTACTTGTGCAACATGTTCCTCATGGAGTTCGTTGGAACCCCTGCCTGTCTGAAATGGAGGGAAGAGGTGAGGACCATCACTTAACATCAATTACAGTGATTTTTAACCTTTCTTGTCCACAAGCCTAAGTAGTTGAGAGCCCTTTCCCCAAAAAAGCGCCCAAGTGTACATACACTGAAGAGTAGTTGCACTAGGCCCCACGCACAGAAGGGCCCACACATGGCTTAATGTTCTGCTGCTGTTGTCTTGAATTCTTAATAATTTTGAACAAGGGGCCCCGCACATTCCTTTTGTGATGGATCTCACCAGTAATGTAGCCATTCCTATTTGTGTAGTTAGTGGGGGGATAAGAGGGGAGCTTCAGATTCTTCTCCAGAACCCCTGTACCGTTTATAGAGTCCTTCCCACCCCCATCATTTATCTGTCTCTTATTCTTTCATTGCAATGCCATCCCTAGATCCAACCTCCCAATTTGTTTCTAGCTTCATTTTCCTGGAGTCATCTGGGCTGTGGCAATGGCCGAAGTGGACGGGAGAGACCTACCAGGGATGGAAGACCATGTTGGAGAGTGAGGTGCTTCTTTGGGACCCCTCATTCTAGTCTCCCCCCTGGCTGGAGACATGAAAGCTCCCAGAGGAACCAGCTGTTTTCCACCATCACAGATGACCTACCAGGCTGCCCTGGAAGGAGCCCAAGTCCTGAAGACAATATTAGCAGCCACATGGCAAGAAGTTGGCCAACTGAATTCAGAAGAGGTCCCAAGATAGGGTTGGGTCAGAGGATGTGAGATCTATATTAAAGAAACAAAGGTGTTCCTATGCTCAGGAGACCCCTGCTAAGCCTGCCAGTTTTGACCCAAGTCCATTCATTCAACAAGCTCTGGGTCCTAGGCACCAACCTGAGCAGTCCCTGACCCTCCCTGGGAATCCTGACCTCTTTTCTCATCTGTTTAAAGGTATGGGGAGCAGGGTTGTGCTGAACTTCCCTTAACTTTAAACTCACTTTGATTAGACTTTAAGTTTATTTTAATAACAGGTATTTATTTTATGAATGTATTTGGAGTGTCTGCCATATGCCTAGTTATAAAGAGACTAGCTCACATTTAATGAGCACTTACTGTGTGCCGGGCACTTTCTGTGTGCTTCACACACATCTTTTATGAGGTAGGGTCTTTGGTTATCCTTGTTTTACAGATGGGAAAACTGAGGCACTGAGCAGTCAAGTAACTTGCTCAGAGTCACACTGATGGAGTCAGGATTTGAACTCAGGTCTTGTGACTCCAGAGCCAGGCCCTGATCCACTATGCCAGTTCTCCTCCAGGCTGGGGGATGGAATAAGATAAGGTAGGAGTCATAAGGCTCTGACGTTTGAAGAAGGCCCAATCTGTCCTTGCACCACCGGCTGGTTACCCTGAGGTTTGATGGGCTGGGGAAGAGGACATACCCTCCTGGGTACCACTTGGGTATCATCTTTGCCACCTCTTTCTCTCTCACTTCACATCCCACCTATCACCATGTCAAGGCTTTTTAACTGCCCAAGGGAGAGAGACTGGGACCTGAATTATTAACTGGTCTCCCAGCCTTTGATCTCCCCCACTCTGTTCTTTCTGCCCTGTTAGCCAGAATGATCCGTCCAAAGCACAAATCAGAACATGTTCTTCCTCTGCTTAAAACCCTCGACGGCTCCCTGTTGCCCCTGGACTAAAGTCTGAGCTGCTCATCCTGGAGTAGAGCCGCCCTTTGCGACCTCAGCCTTGCTGAATTTGCTGAGCAAGATTTCTATGCTTACCAACAAGGCTGACAGGAACATTCTTGAACTTAACATCTTTGCACACATGTGTGCTTCTATTTAGAGGATAAATTTTGAAAGGAGAAATTGTCAAATTCAAAATACATGCATTTCATATTTTGCCATACCATTTTGCCCTACATTTTACAAGTGGCCCTACTAAAAGGTGGTGCCAAGGGTGTATATGAAAGTGCATGTTTTCCTAGCCCTTTGCTCCACTGTACACCCCCAACACATGCACACTTTCTCTTTCTCTCACACACACACAATCTCATACACACTCACACAAATACTCTCAAACACTGTCACACTCACGCATTCTCTCTCTTACACACTCACACACACTCTGTCACACACACACACACACACAGGCATTCTCACACTCTCCCACATACAGACATACATTCTCTTTCACATTCTCCCACACACAACTCTCCCACATACAGACATACATTCTCTCTCCCATTCTCCCACACACAACTCTCTCCCACACTTTCACACATACATACACACTCTCACACATACACACATTCCCTTACACACTCACATACACATTCCCACACTCACACACACACATACTCTTACACTCACACACACTCATACGTATTCTCCACTCTTCTCTCACACACACCCTTTTCCCCGCACATTTTGTTCTGGCTGATGACTTTTTGTCAACACTGTTTTCCTGGGAGCTTCAGGAGTCACATCAAATAAACCCTTTTGGTAACAAACCTCCATGGCTGAAACTTCTCCCTGGCTTTGTCTGGCCTCCTCTCCCACTGCTGGTTCTGAGAGTCTCCATGAACTGCCTAGTGGGCACGGGCTGTCCTCCTTTGCTGTCAGAAGCTGCTGGCTGTTGTTCAGTCTCCATGCTGACCCAGAAAAGCCAGCTGAACCATCGAGCCCGCCCCCCCTCCCCCACTCCCAACCACTCTGGAGGAGCCCAAGGGGCAGTCCTGGGAGGGCTGGCTGGTAAGGGAGGGTGGGGAGACTCACTCCCTGCTCTGGGGAAGGGGCTGAGACCCTGGGACTACGAAGCAGGAGAGGTATATGTGAGTAAGTGTGAGTCTGTAAGCGAAAAAAAAGAGAGAGAGAGCACCTGGTAAACCCACTCCACGATCTTCTAGTAACGGGCTCCCTGAGAGACATGCCGCTCATCATAGCAGCTCCAGTTTACTGAGTTCCTGCTGCCGTGTGCCAGGCCCATGCCAAGCGCTTCCCATGCATTATCTTACTTGGTCTTCACAACAAACCTGTGAGGTGGGTAATATTTCCATTTTCAGATGAGGAACCTGAGGGTCATAGGGGTTAAGTGCCTTGCCCAAAGTAACACAGCCAGGAAGTGGCCCATTTTTCTGACCTTAATCAAGACGCATTTCTCAAGCGCCACACACACTCTCTCACGCATTCTCACACACTCTTATACACTCACACACACACATTCTCACAGTCACTCACACACATTCTCTCTCACACACTGTCCCACTCACATTTCTCTCCCAACTCTCTTCCTTCCTGCTTTCTTAGTAACATACCTCCGACTTTTCTGGGACTCAAATGATGTAGCTTAAGGTTCTGCTGTTGATGTTTGTTGGAAACTCAGAACTTAAGTGTACATGTCTCCCCTGCCCCCCCCCCCAAGGAACGCAGGGAGGCTGGGAGGACAGTCACCAGTGTAATGTCACCTGGTCTGAGACAGGTGCAGGGGAGAAGCTGTAGGGGGAGCCAGTGATGCAGGGTCCGTCCAGCTTTGGAACTTTCATCCAACTCCACAACTCATCATGACACATCTTCCAGGCACACCCTTCTGTTCCCCCACCCCAACCCCTGGGAGCACAAGTCTGGAATCCCAAGTTCAAGCCCCTCACCTTCCCACCACCATCCCTTTGAGCCTCAAGGTCATCATCTGCAAAATGGGGCCGATCCCCTCCTTGTGAAGTTGTCATGAGAATTAAACATGGAATGTATGGAAAGTACTGAGCACGTGTTGGCTGGTACCTTGTAAGTGCTCGATAAATCGCTTCCAAAAGGAAACAACAACACACACACACCTGGAAATAAGATACTCAGAATACCTTGTGTGCCAGGCATGGTTTCAGTGCTTGACATGTACTATCGCATTGAATTCTCCCAACAACGCCACAAGACAGGCAAGATTTTCATTTAAATCATGCAGAAGCTGGGATGCAGAGAGGTTAAGGCGCTTGCCTGAAGTCACACAGCTTAAGTGGCAGAGCTGAGGATCAGCCCAGGCCTGTGAGCCTCCACTGCTCCACACTGGGTAGGCCGGCACCCATCATGGGGAGGGGGCGTCTGGCAGGGGCAGAAAGAATGTTGCGCACACAGCCACAGGGTCTGGGTGGCTTTCTGGGGCTGAGGGGGATGGACGAGTCTCCACCATGGAGAGCAGGCTGGCTGGATCACAGGCTGTCTGAGGAGATGCTGGCGGGCTGCCAGGGTGCTGGGCAGCCGGGTCTGAGTCACTCCCCTGTGACCTAACCGGCCTGGCCGATACTCCAGGGCTGGGACAGGGCCCACCCGAGGCTGAGGAAAGTTGCCGCAGTGTGGGGCACACTTCTCCCAGCTTCTTTCTAGTACATATGGCTCTCCAGGAAGCCAAGAGGTGGCTATTTCCTCAAAGAGGGTTGAAAATGGAGCTCTCTCAAGAGTCAGGCTACTCTGTCTTCCTGCTTGCTTTCTTTGTAGAGGTCCCCTGCACCAAAGAGAGGTGACAGCAAGCTAGGTGTTCTGTTTTAGACTAGTTTATTCACTCAGGTAGTAACTTATTTACTCACGCAAGTGTTTATTTATACGTTTATTCATTTACTCAGTAGCTTACTGATTTATTCGCTCATTCACTCACTCATGCTCATACGTTCATGTACACAGCCATTCATTCTTCCACTCATTCCCCCCAACCCATCCATCCATCCATTCATCCATCCATCCACCCATCCATCCATCCACCCACCCACCCATCCATCCATCCATCCATCCATCCACCCACCCACCCAATCACTCATTCATTCCTTGTCCAGTTGTCCTCCTATCCATCCCTCCTCTCATGCACCCATTTTCCCATACAACCTTTCATCCATCCATCCTCCCATCCATCTATCCATTTATCCTTTATTAAGCACCTACTGTGTTTCCCACACAAACGCTATGGCTCCCAAAGTACCTTTACACCCACTTTAGCTCCTAATTCAAGCCACATATTGGAAGGGAGGACCCCTCAGCTCCTCGGCCTTCCAGCATGGTGGTTCCAGTCTCTTCCGTGGTTCCAGGAGGAGGCTCAGGAGAAGTGGACAGTCTGTGCACAGACCCGGTGTGCATGATAGAGCTGGTGACAACCACTTTTTGAGACCTGGGGCTCCTGAGAAGACTGTCTATGCACCCCACTTTTGGATACAGGGGTCATGCATAATCCCAGGCACTGTGGCTCCAGGGGTGATATTTCCAGTTTCTTGGGCCCCATCTCCTGCCTCTCCCAGGCCAGAGCAGAGCTCCAGGCCATGGAGACCTGCGTACTTGGGCCGGCTTCTTGGGGCTCATCCTGGGGCCTCTCTTCTTAGTGGGAAGGCAAATATGTTGCCTGATGGGACCACTGACACCTGGCGCCTTCCGTGAGGGCAAGGGGAGTCCAGGGCAATCTAGAGGAAGACCGCGGCATTCAAGGAGGGACTCCTGGCCCATGGTGGATCTGAGGAGGAGGACACACGTCAGGGAAGTGGGAAGGATGTTCCTCACATGTCCCCATGTGCCCCACTCTACACCTTCATATACACCATTCTCTACATCTGCAACCCCTCTCCATTTCCTGTTCCTACCTGACTGGCTCCAACTCAGCCCTCAGTTCTCATCTTGGCTGAGTCCCCACAATCCTGCTCTTCTCTCAGACCCCATTGTAACTGCCTCTAGTAAGGTCTCAATAAATATTTGTTGAATGAATGAGCGAATCCCCATTTTACAGACAAGGAAACTAAAGTTCTTCATCTTCCTCCCCTTCCCCCAAACTTTTACCAGCCAACTGCTACTCCTTCAGATTCCAACAAAAATGTCAATTCCCAGGGGGCTTTCCTGGACCCCCAGACTAGGCCACTGCTGTTTCCTGCTCCCTTAGCATCCCATCCACCCCTGATCTTTACACAACCCTTGCTGTACGCCTACCTGCTTGTTTTCTGTCTCCTGGCAACCTGGATGGAAGTCACCCTCCCCATTTTCACAGAGGAGGACACCAAGGCTCAGAGGAGGCGAGTGACTTGCTCAAAGTCACAGAGGGGATGGCCATGCTAAGGTAAAGACCCCTGGCTCATGACTGCTTTTTTCCACCCATATGAGCAAGGTACTTTATTAATTCGTTTTATTTTAAAATCAGGCTGGCTGCAGGTAGTAATAATGACAATACAAATAGTGTTTTATGACTGTTTTAAAAGTGCTGTTTCTACTTCACCACTCCGGTGTGAGTGGATGGGCGAGGCTCAGGGGTGTGTGTGTGTCTACCTGTAGGTGGCCCTGGCTGAGCCAGCCCCACTGGAAGGAGGTTGGACATTTGTCCCAGAGCGGGGGTGTCTGGGAATTGGGTGTGCCCAGGGGCTCTGCATCCCTCTTCCTTCTCACATTGCTGAGTGAGTCAGCCCCAGAGCAGCAGTGCGGCAGCCTTCCGGGAGCCGCTGGGGAGCCAGCCCTTCTCCCCATGGCCCACATGGAGAGGCTGGCCATGGCATCCCTGGTCTCCCCATGTCCCCGGATCCCACGGGCCCACATCGCCAGGCATCCAGGGTGCTGTGCCCAGCGCTGGGCAGAGCTGGGCTGCAGGTATGGGCATCGTGGGGAAAGAGAGGGGAAGTTTGGGCTGTTGGTGTCTCAGAGCCAGGCATGTGGGTCGAGGGGACCGAGTCGAGGACCTACTGTGTGCCAGGGACATATGTCATCTCACTGAGTCCTCATAACACCCGTGGGAGGCAAGAATGTTCCTCCCACCATACAGGTGAGAAAACAGAAGCTCTGAGAAGTCAAGTTAATTTGCCCCAGGTCACCCTGCTGGCAGGTGGTGGAGGTGGGTCTCAAACTCAGGCCTTTGCTGAGACACACAGCATTGGTCTTGCAGCTGGCCTCCTGCAAGGGGGGTAGGGGGTGTCACTGATTCTTGGATGCCGTTTCCCTTTCCCTTGCTCTTAAAGAGCGTTAGGAACTAATGTCTTATTTAGAGTCCCTGGGTGGTGCAAATGGTTAAGGCACTCAGCTACTAACCAAAAGGTTAGAGGTTCGAGTCCACTTGAAGGCTCCTCAGAAGAAAGGCCTGACAGTCCACTTCTGAAAAATCAGCCATTGAAAACTCAATGGAGCTCAGTTCTACTCTGATGACATGGGGTCACCATAGTCAGAATCAACTCGACAGCAACTCGGTTTTGGTTTTGTTTTGTCTTATTCAGGCTCAGGGCCTTAAACCATGGCATCTCGGCTGGTAAGCATGGCTGCATTTGGTCACCTTGGCTGGAACCTGAGCCATCTCTCCTTCCTGCTCAGTGTGCCTCTGACAGCCAGAATCAGGATTTTTTAATAGTCATTTATTACAGCATATTTCAATATGATTATTGTAAAAATTCAAATAGCACAGAGAACATACTCCCCAGAATTAAGCACTGGAAAAAGAGCCCTGGTGGCACAGTGGTTAAGCACTCAGCTGCTAAACAAAAGATCAGTGGTTTGAACAGACCAGCAGCTCTGCAGGAGAAAGATGTGGCAGTCTGCTTCTATAAACATTACAACTTTGGAAACTATGGGCAGTTCTACTCTGTTCTATAGGATCTCTATGAGTTGGAATCGGCTCAGCAGCAATGGATTTGGGTTTTTTTGGTTAAAGTTTTGGCATATGCCTCAGGAGAATTTTTTGATATAAACTGTGTTTGTATGATTTTACACAAATAGGATTATGTTACACATGTGCTTCTAGGCTTGCTTTTTCCCCTTCCTATGTTATGGACAGTTTACATGTCAGTAACATGAAGATCTAACTCATTCATTTTAGTGGCCTCCCAGAATCCAACTGTATGGACATCCTTTGATTAAGTCAGTCCCTGGCTAATGGACATTTGGGTTGGTTCCAATTTTTAACAATTCTTAGCAATGTTGCAGTGAAAGTCTTTGAGGACTTGTGTGAGTAAAATACATTCCTAGAAGTGGAATTACAGGTTTCTAAAGGGGACAATTAGAATCTTGATAGATCCTGCCCGATTGGCCTCCAAAAATGTTCTAGACGGGAACACGCCCACGGCAGCGGGAGCACCCATTGCCTCTCATTGGCCAACTCCAGGACCTGAAGACTGGCTGTGGCCTTGATGAGAGTAGACTCAGGAGCAAGCGATCTTCATCCTAGGACAACTGAGTCCAAGGAACTCCTGATGCTGGAACAACTTCTAGGCTCAGGGAAAAGAGGGGAAGCTCAGTGGAGCCATTTCATTCATACAGCATGTTCACCGATCTCCTGTATGCGTGACGCTCTGACCCATCCCAGGCAAAAGTTACTCAGCACATGTGATTTATTGAGATTTGATCTTACTAAACCAAAGAACATGCTAGCCTGTTTGTCTGTCTATCATCCATCCAACCCTGTCTATCCATCCATCCATCCATCCATCCATCCATCCATCCATCCATCCATCCATCCATCCATCCATCCAACTCTGTCAGTCTATCAATCAGTCTATCTATCTATCTATCATCTCTGTATTAGTTTCCTATTACCACTGTAACAAATCACCACAAGTTTTGTGGCTTAAAACAACACAGATTTATAATCTTACTGTTCTGGAAGTCAGAAATTCTAAAAATAAGGTGTTGGTAGGGCCCTGTTCCTTTTGGAGGCTCTAAGAAACAATCCATTTCCTTGTCTTTTCTAGCTTCTAGAGGCTGCCCGCATTCCTTGGTGGCCCCCTTCCATCTTCAAATTCAGCAGTGTAGCATCTTCAAATCTGTCTCTGACTCTGATCTTCACTACTGTTATCAGATCTCCTCTTTGACCCTGACTCTCTTGCCTCTTTCATTTATAAGGACCCTTGTGATTACATTAGACCTGCTCACATAATCCAGGATAATCTCCCCATCTCCAAATCTTTAATCATATCTTCAAAGTCCCTTTTGCTGTATAAGGTAACATATTCACAGGTTCCGGGGATTAGAATGTGACATCTTTGGGAGCCATGATTCAGCCCACCACTCTTTTCTCTCTCTCTCTGTCTCCTGGCTGTTCCCTGACCTCCTCCTACCCTTTCTTAATCTCTTGGTTCCTTTGATCCCTGACACTATTAATATTGAATTCACTAGAAGAGTGCCTAACCCATTGAATGTGCTCAATAATTACTGGTTGAATGAACAAATTAATAACACCTAAGAAAGAGTTTAAAATTGTTGCATTCTCTTTGTTACTTAAAACAAACAAAAACAGTACTCTTACTTCCAAAACAGCGGTTTTTCTAACTCTAGGGTTGGTAGATATTTTATTTGAATTTGCTTTTTATGATATCTTTTAAGTCGTGAAAACACTACATGTTGTTGTTAGGTGCCGTCAAGTGGGTTCCAACTCATAGCCACCCTATGTACAACAGAACAAAACACTGCCTGGTCCTGCGCCAATTTCACAGTCATTGTTATGCTTGAGCCCATTGTTGCAGCCACTGTGTCAATCTATCTTATTGGGGGGTCTTCCTCTTTTTGGCTGACCCTCTACTTTTACTAACCATGATGTCCTTCTCCAGAGACTGATCACTTCTGATAACATGTCCTAAGTATGTGAGTAGTCTCGCCATCCTTGCTTCTAAGGAGCATTCTGGCTATATTTCTTTTTTTTTGATTTTTTACTTTATTGTTGCACTTTAAGTGAAAGTTTACAATTCAAGTTAGTCTCTCATACAAAAATTTATACATGCATTGTTATGTGACCCTAATTGCTCTCCCTATAATGTGACAGCACACTCCTCCTTTCCACCCTTGACTTCCTGTGTCCATTCAACCAGCTCCTGACCCTCTCTGCCTTATTGTCTCACCTCCCGGCAGGAGTTGCCCATTTAGTCTCATGTATCTATTTGAGCTAAGAAGCACACTCGTCATGAGTATCATTTTATGTCCCATAGTCCAGTCTAATCTTTGACTAAATGGTTTTAGTTCTGGGTTGACAGAGAGTCCGCAGGTCATGCTTTCTGGGGTTCCTCCAATCTCAGTCAGACCATTAAGTCTGGTCTTTTTACTAGAATTTGATTTCTGCACCCCACTTTTCTCCTGCTCCATCAGGGACTCTGTTGTGTTCCCTGTCAGGGCGGTCATTGGTGGTAGCTGGGCACCATCTAGTTCTGGTCTCAGGCTGATGCAATCTCTGGTTTATGTGGCCCTTTCTGTCTCTTGGGCTAATAGTTTCCTTGTGTCTTTGGTGTTCTTCATTCTCCTTTACTCCAGGTGGGTTGGGACAAATTGATATATCTTAGATGGCCTGGCTATATTTGTTCCATAAGGGGGTTATATTCCAAATACTTTTTTTCCATCAAGATTATACTGAGTATGATCAGTAAATGTTTTAAATTGAACTTAGACAATGAGTTTATAATAAATTATCATTGTCCTCTCTTTTGTTTATTGAGACGAGATTCCACTGCCACAAATATTTGAGAACCACTTCCTTGGGACAAGGGTTGGTCTGTCTGCTGTAGGCCAGGGCTCTGCGTATCGGTTCACAAAGTTACTAGGTCAGGCATCCCAGCCCTCTGAGTCCATTCATCTTGATGGTCACTTATTCATGAGTCATTTATTTATTCAACGAATTCCATCGGGACTGTAAGCTTCTGGATGCCAAGCGTAGGTCTGTTCCGTTTAACTGTGTGTCGCCAGCATCAGCGCAGGCAGGACTGGTCCATTGTAGGCACTTACTAAGTATTTGTTTAACGATTGAAATGCTTGCAGCTACTATGTGAAGTCCCGTGCTGGACACTGGGGTATGAGGTTAAATAGGATGCTTTCTCAGCTGTTGGGATGTCTACAGGCTGATCCAGGAGGAAGATAGGAGACTGATTCACTATGACAAGATAAGAACCAGTTGCCAACCAGTTGATTCTGACTTATGGTGACCCCATGTGTGTCAGAGTAGAACTGTGCTGATAGGGTTTTCAATGAGTGATGTTTCAGATGTAGATCACCAGGCCTTTCTTCCGAGGTACCTCTGGCTGGACTTGAGCCACCAACCTTTCAGTTAGCAGACCATTTGTACTACCCAGGGACTCCATGCAATACACCAAATACTAATCAGAAAGGTCTCCAAATACTAATCAGAAAGGTCTGATTGTAAAGGTCTGCACTGGGGTGACTAAAGTCAGTATTGTTATCAAATAGAACTTCTGATAAATGAATGGGACACAGTGTGCCCTGTCTACGTGGACTAAATCTTAAAACCGTGACATGCTGGCATCAGGAGGAAGCTTAACAACCCAACCAGAGCAGGACAGCTGTGTCTGGATTCTTCCCATCCCCACTCCCAAATGGAAATATATTTTCTACTAATTTGTGATTGCTATAAAAAATGCGAAAAATAGCAAGGGAAATCCACCTTCCTCACCCACCTCCACTCATAAGAATAACTATTGTGAGTAGTTCAGTATTGTGAGTACAAGATTATATGCCTCATAAATAGGAATTTATACGTCTTGTTGTGTTCAGACTAGAACTGCTGCATAGAATTTTTAAGGTTGTGACCTTTTGGAAGCAGATCATCAGGCCTATCTTCTGAGGTGCCTCTGTGTGGAAATGAAAGTCCAACTTCTAGGCTAGTAGTC